TATGCCTGGGCAGTGCCCATTCTGATCAGACAGAAAGGTTTCTCACTTGCACACCTCCCTCTCTCCACTCTTCCCAATGCCACTTCGTAGTTCCTTGGGCACTCCTGAGTGCTGGCTGAACACCAGGACTGGGCTTTATTTCCTGGCTCACACATGAGGAGGTCTGGTTCCTGGTTTTTTAGGCAGAGGTGCTCCTGGACTCTTTCTGAGGGGTTTGGGGTGGGTGTGGGAGGACTTCCCTGCTTTGTGGAGCTGTGGGAAAGGCAGGGGAGGTCTGTCAGCCCTCGAAGGCTTTGTCTGAAGTCTCATTCCGGAATAGGTGTGTTCCCTATTGAATGAAGCGTCTGCCAGAAGGTTTTGACCCATTTCAGTCTTGGGTCAGGAGGTTTTCTGAAATGTCATAGGATTTGGACTAAACTCTGGGGTAAGAGAGTTCAGTCTTTGATGAAGATATACATCCGGAACATATTTTGGCACGTGCTACTTCCAGCAGTTTTCTTTCTTAGGAAATCTGTCCTAAACAACAACTCTGGGGAGGTGATTCTCTGAAGCAGTGGTCAGTATTGCCACTGTTTCAAGCCCATGTAGCCTGTAGTGAGAGGTGCGTGCTGGTGCTGCCACAGAGCCAAGAGCATGACAGAAATCTTGAAGATTAGTGGGAAGATTCAACACTGAAAACTGGTTACTTGAGAATAATTAAACAGGTATTCAGAAAATTTTTAGAAATTCTGGGTAAGTAGAAGAGACTGAATTTTGGGCTTTGATTAGGCAGAAGTGTTTTCAAAGCTAGGAGAGACTTGAGACACATAGCTGCTGCTTAAGTTTGATGCTAAGAGTTGCACTGTGCAAATTATAAAATTGGTATGTCCACTATGACCACTGGCATGCTTCTGTGAGCTCTGTGGATTTTAGATTTTTTTTCTAGCAAGACAAAGCCATGAAAAATCTAATGAGAGGGGGACACTAAAGAGTGGCTGATGTCAGCTCGCTATAATGTTTGGTGCTTGAAAAAAAAATGTTTGAGACTGGGAAAGAGAAGCAGTAGTGGAGTAAGGGAATGTATTGATTACATTGTTCCAGAGTACATTTACATGGCTCTTGAACTGTCAAACACACTTAAGCAAGGTTCTTATATCTCTAAAAACTGTAGCTGAAAAACATTTTTGAATTTCTTCATCTTTGCACCTTTACTCAGTGTTAATGGAAATAGTTGAAGTTTGAATCTTTCCACTTAAAAACGTGCTCATCACCTTTTCTCTGACTGCAGCAAGATTTTTATATTTTGTATTTTAGTCTGGATTGATGTTTGATTTATCCAGCAATTACAGGCTTTCACCTTATTTTTTCTTACACTTTTTTTTTTTTTAGGTTGAACACATCAAGTATTCTTATTTTGACTAGTTCGTAAATAAACCTGCAGTTGATGTTGCTCTTGTTGTACCTGGTATAGAGATGAACCTGTTAAATTTGCTTGGGGAAGACACTCAAATTTGGAATTAACCTAGTGAAAGAGATATATATATATATTTTTTTTATTTATTTATATATCTTGCTTATTTTGAGTGGTCCTTCCCGATTTGCAGGGGTTGCATTGAATGGCAGTTGCCCTGATGCTACTGCTGGGCAAACTGCCCCTTTCCCTGAAGAAAAAAGCAATGATTGTGCTCGCTCTAGTGGCAGAAGGCAGAATTGTTGTGTCACTTCATGGATGATGTATGTGAGCACAAAAATTCTGATTTAAAGACACTTTTAAAGTGCAGTGCAAACACTTACTCCATTTAGCCTGAGCTGGAAAAGACATTAAAAAAAAAAAAAGTAATTCTGTATCTGTAAATAATCTGCAAATAAATCAATAAATCTGTAAAGTAAAACCAGCTGGAAATGCTACCATTAAATCTGCCTCTTCTTATGACTGACTGTCCTGGATATGTTTAACAGGAACGGTAGAGGGAGAATTCTCTTTTTCTCACTCTTTTTTTTCTCATTAAAATCCACACCAGCACCACCATCCTGGTATGTAGCCAAGGCAGAAAAGGATGGAGGTTGAGACATTGACAGGCTGCTTGTGCTGCTGATAAGGTAGCTCCTAACTTGTGATTTAGTAATGAAATAATGATGTGCAATAATTTAGAATGGTCTCTCTGCCTTCTAGTCATAAATCTCCTCTGCTAGGAAGAAGAGGCAAGATGTCCTGCTTTCTCCTTGCTGGATGCTGTCCATGTTTAGGTGGCTTTGCATACAGCAGGCAATTCGTGCTGCAAATGCACAACTCTTCTAGTATCCATCTGCCATCCTTTTCATCTGTGCCAGCAGCAACTCCATATGAATCCTGCAGTGCTTATGGTCACAGGAAGCATCTCCTGGATAAAGGATAGGAAAAGCTTCTGGCAAACGTACCAAATTTTTGTTTTGGTTTGGATTTTTTGTTTGTTTGTTTGTTTTAAATAGGTGAGCCTTGGGTTTTTCTTCCTGTCAGCTCTGCTACATTGAGACTTTTATTGTGTAAAGGATGTATAAACATTTTTAACCATGTTGCTGAGCTAACCACTCAGGAGAAATGCTGGAGAATTCCAAACCCTGGTATTACTGGAGAGGAGTTGTTACATCGTAGTCTTTTGAATGCAGGTGGCAAGTACAAATTTTCTTTTGCAGTTTTTAAGCTGCTTTGAAAAGCAAAACTGGAAACACAGATTTAAGCTCACACCTGCTTTTATACCTGCTGAATTGTGACACGAGACAAGTATCTCATGTACTAACAACAAAGCCCTCTTTTTTTTTAAGTGACTAAATAATCCAATACTTTTGAAGTTCTCAGCACTGCAGAAGAATTATGGCATTTATTTAAGGGTTTGAATATGTAATTAAGCATCTAATTTTAAACCTGAACACTCAATAATGTTGGATTTTGCTACCAAGTTACTTCCTTTTTATGGTGTCTGCCAACTGCTGAAGTATGCATTAGTGCATTGACATATTAATGCATTTTACTAATGGAGGTACCTGATCAAGCAGCAGCCAAATGACCACAAAATAAATGTCTGAGTTGAAATCAGAACCTGCCATAAACAACAGAAAACTGCTTGACTTTATCTTGCACTGACATCCCTATTCCCATCTGACTGGAAAAACTGGATCCATTGGTGGAGCCCTTATAGTCTTAGGACCCAGCATCCCCTCTCATCCATTTCCACATGAATGCATTATTTTCTTGGGCTTTCTTCATGCCTTTCCCTCCCCCTTTCTTGAGCTTATTTTTTCCAGAATAGTAGTATGTTCCTGTAATTCTAATAAAGCATATTCTGACTTGCTCATAAATTAAAACCAAATACTTAGCTATTACTAATACACTCTAGCCTACCTGGTCATAGTGAGATAGAGGCCTTCCCAGTTCCTGGGTGGAGCCTTCTGCCTTGTCTTAGAGCTGACCTGGAGCAGTGAAGGTGTCTGTGCACCATCTGTGCTCGCTGAATTACTGCAGGCACTCCCCAGCTGTTGCTGATGTTGGCTTTCCAGTATTGCTTGCCTGCCACTCACTTGCCAGATTCTCTATGCTGGATGCTCATTGAGGTGACATGCGAATACAGTCCACTTTTTCCCAGTGGGGAGGTGTGATACCAAACCAGTAGGAGAAGTGGCATTCTCAGCTCCAGCAGATCCAGCAGTGTCACCCAGTTTGTACTGATCTGTTGAACAGCAAAGCTGGCATGTAAGGGGCAGTCAGAAAATTACAAGGCAGGCATTTAACACCAGAGAAACAATCTCGGTATTTAGCATGCTGAGAATACCAGCTAATCATGGAAGGCTTGTCTAGATGTCTGGATTCCTTTGGCTCCTGAGGTATTTTGTAGATGCTGATGGCCAGTGTGAACTTTAAATCAATTTATTGCATATGTTTACATATGCAGTGAAACCATTTGCCATATCATTTAACTACACGGAGTGAATTGTTGACCATGAGCTGATCTGACCTTTTCAGATCTAATCAAGAAGTCTGAAATATTATTTTAGCCTGTCAGCTCCAGTAATATGCTGTAAGAGTATCTGGATCTAACTGAAAATGTCAAATGTGCTCTAATATGCAACCCATCAAAGTTACGATGCAGGAACCAGTTAAGAATATAAATCTGTAACATCTGTGGTGCATCTCAATTGCCTGGGTGAGTTGTTCTGCCATTGATACAAGCCAGCTAAAAACATAGATTAAAAGCAATTCTTCAGAATACATTTGAGGTGTACAGCCACCTAAATATTAAAATGATCTTGGAAGAGGGGTGATGACTCTAGGTTAGAATACTACTGGAAAAAACAGGGCCCAACATGAATACTTGTGTTCTAGGGAATGTCTTGCTAGCTTTAGTGTGTGATTACATAAGATTAGTGGTCTCATGCAACCTCAGAATTTTCCTTTTTAATTTTAATAATTTGCCACTTGTAAAGATTTTGCTCTTTCAAATAATAATCCATTATGTAAACTGAGGTATCCTTATCAATCTTACTGCATTTAGTACCAATTTTTCATAGTCCTGTGCATTTCATGAGAAATCTACTTCTATATTTAAAACCCAACCCAACCCAAACCAAGTTCTAAAACCCAACACTTATAAGAGTATTTAATGATTAAATTAAAAAAATTTTTTTCCTCACCTTCAAAATAGGTTCTGTTCTTGGTATTTTATAAGATACTCAGACCTAGGATAAATCTGCCTTCAATAATTATTTATCAAGCACAAGATCAATTGTTTATCTGTAAAATTTCTGGATGATGAATTTAAATTTGGATTCAAGTGTATGGGTGTAATGAAAAACAACTTTGTATCCTATGAAAATGGTAAATTTTTTTAGCTAAACAGTCTATCAAAATTGTTTAGCCTTAAAACACTTGTTACACTAAAATTGAGTTGCTTTTTATCTGATTGTGGGTAGTTCTTGCAATTTGAGGTGCTATTAACTGAATTGCTACTATTAGTAAAACGTTGTTGGAAGTAGAATTAAAATGAACTATGGGAAGCATTGCTGAACCGGTAACTGCATTGTAAATAGTGTGTTTTAAAGGCTCCACTTAACGCTGTTTGAGCTGTTCTTACTAGGCAATGCTGCCCTCCCCTGGAATGCTGCGAAAAGCAGGATTTTTTTATTCCAGTTCTAGAGCTTCCCGTTGGAGAGAAATTGGTGTATTGGTGAAAACGCTGGGGGGAAAATGCTGTTAAACAGACCATTATATGCTTTCTCTCTTAAGAGAGAAAAGCAAACTCCAAACAAACCATAAAACAGACATTAGTACAGTGCTTTTATGTATGCATGATGCACATGTAGATGAATGTACAAATAATATACATCTAATCTACTGTCAATACATGGTAGAGGGCTGAATTAAGTTTGTGTGGCATTTTGGAGGATGAATTAAAGACAAACAGATACAAGGTGGTAGGAAGACCAATGACAAGAAGCTTTTCTATAACAGTATAGTTTTGTATTGTAAACATGAATGATGAATCTCAAAACATTATATGTATGTTCAGTTCTGCAGTAGAGGAGTAAATGTGACCATGGCCAGCAGCTTGCATGGGAATAGGATTGGCTCTTGTGCAAATGAAGCTGTAGCAAAACCATTGTCTGCTGTCAGGGTCTGTTGATGACAAAGATATCACCACCAGCTCTGGAACTCCCTTCACTGCACAGTCCTGAGGGCTGAGTAAGGTAGTCCAAGGAAATATTGCTGTTGATGGTCTGTTCTTTAATGTATTTCCTCAGGTGGCTGGTACTAACTGCTGCTGGAGATAGAATATTGGGGTAGAAGGTACTTTAGGCTATCCAGCTGTGGCTCTTGTGTGTTAAATGCGCTGCTATTTGCTTTAATTTTGTAATCCTTCCATTTCTCACTGCTAGATAATTTCACCATAGTCCAGATAGAGCAGAAAGAGTTAAACCTTGTTGCAAATACAGGAATTTTAGTTCCCACATTTGAGTCTAATAAAGTGTGTGGAGTGAGCTTTGCTTTTTGTTTGTTTGTTTGTTTGTTTTTAAGGTATAAAATGCCACTTTCATTTTATGGTTAAGATTTTTCTAATTGCTGGGCAACTTGAAAAACACACAACTTTTTTTTTTTTCCTGTGTCATATGACTTACATTTTGCTTGCTCCTCCTTCCTTTTAATGCATTGGAGATCACCTAGCATTGGAGAAAACTGGAGAGAGTATGTTAAAACCTCTGGTTTGTGTATTTCTTTGTGTCTTAGACCTGAACAGACTGCCACATCAGGAGGGAGGTTTTTCCCCCAGACTGGTTTGCTTGAGGACTTTGCTTGAGTGTGAGTCCTTGTCTGCTACTTAAGGTCAAGTCACCTGGGAGATGTTTTAAGAGCTGTGGAATATAATGACATTCCCAATCTGACTTGCCCTTCTCCAGTTACAGTTGTATGTTGTAGTGGTGTTGATACTTTGCTACAGCCTTTTACAGCAGGGTCTAGGAGTTGTTCTGTGTCTGTGGTGCCTGCCAATCCACAGAGCAGCTGTGGACCATTCTGAGCTCCTCTCCAACTAATAAGTGACCTGTGACTGTGGCACGTAGAACCTGAAGATCCCAGTGGTCTTTCACAGGCTGTTGTTTCTAAAGTGACATTGCTGGCAGGAAAACAGCAGCATTTGCCTTCATGCATCAGCAAGAAAGCTACAATAATCAATCCTTTTGGGAGCATAGCTGTAAAACCACTGCAGGTATGGCTCCAAAGTAGTTAAAGGTTGGGCTAAATCAACAGATAAGAAGCCTTTCCCTTTGTGACACCCTGCCACAGCCATACCAGTTGTATATGTTCTTTTTTGTTAGATCAGTATTTTGCCAGTGCAGCATCCCCATTCAGCTCATCAAATGGTTCATATGAATGGCAGTCTGAGGTCTAGAACTGTGTGACAGTTTTCTTTCTTCCCCATAACTTTTGCAGGTGCTGGGGCTGCTGGTGTGGACCCTGATTGCTGGAACAGAATACTTTCTCTATCCAGCCTTTGGCTGGGTGATGTTTGTAGCTGTGTTTTACTGGGTTCTCACCGTCTTCTTTCTGATCATCTACATGACAATGACCTACACCAGGATCCCGCAGGTGCCATGGACCATGGTGGTAAATATACCCATTCTTTGTTGTTCCAGGCTTGCTGGGTTTTGAAGAGAATAAAATATTGGTGCATTCTACATGTATATTTTACCACTCTACTCTTTGCAGATTTTTCCCTGATTACTGTGTGGCTGCAGTATTTAACTTTCATACTACCCAGACACTTTCAAAGCACTTTTTCTATGATGTTTCACCATTTTGCTCAGCCATTGATGTAGTGACTTGATTTTTTAATGTGTGTGTGACTGATACTTATGCACAGTGACCTCTTTTTCTCTCTGTAGTGGTTGTGTCCCATGAAGAATGAGTCTGTTGCTGCCTCTGAGGTAACAGACTTGGCCATATGGCCTAAACAGCAGAAATCCCTACTGGAATCAACACCATGCATTAGAAACAGGACTTGGGCTCTTAAAACATGAGTCTTCCTCTGCTAAAGTTAAAGCAAGGATAGTTCAGAGGTAGCAACACTCTGACAATCCATATGTAGTCTGCTGTGAAAATGGTGCTGAAAAGTATTTATATGTAAAATATGTACCATGTAAAGGATGTACCATGTAATCCTTTGCTTTGAGCTCAAGAGTTAAAGCAAATCAGATAAACAGCTACTGTAATTACAGAAAAAATTCACAGGCACTTAAAATGCAGATCCAGTTTTTATGGTTTGAGCAAACCTGGCCAACTCTAACTCTCAACAGTATATTTTTACCTCATTTGCATAACAGCCTGATCTTCGGGATAGTAGATCCTAAAAGTCATTGTCATTTCAGCCAACTGGCTATTTGTGACCTATCTAAGAATCACTATAAATTTTGTCTTTGCATTCATTGGATTCAGTGAGATACTGTTCTTTCTTTTTTTTAACAGCTAAATATTATTGACTAGGATTCTGTTATTTCTATGATGAAATGTATTTGACTTCTGTGTTGCTAACAGCCTGTTATCAGCTATATTGTGGATGTGACTAAAATTGAATACTAGAATACTCTCCTCTTTTAGTGTTCCCATTTGCTGCAGCAATAAATAGCCAGCTATAGCAATTACTAATAAGAACAACCAGGATTATGTTCAGATAGCTTCTCTATTTTTGAGTTTCATAACCAGCAATTACCATTAAGGCTGTAATACTGCTATAGAAATGTTGGATTATTTCAATTACAGCAGTAATGTATCTGGGTATATTTAAAGGTGTGGTTGTTTTTTTTTTCCCCATTGCATTACATGTAAGTAAAGTACATTCAAAAGGAAAGCATCTTTATATCCATTTGAATAAAGCTTTGGTCATTACCCTTCTTTCATCTGTTGAATGCTATTATGAGGCAACTGCACATAAATGAGTTGCCCCTGATCTATGTGGCAGACAAACTGGAATATTTGATTTGTTTCTATTTCATATTGAGTATATTTCTTGCTCTGAGTTCCAAATAAATGTAAGTCCAAAAGGTAGTCTTCTTTTACATAAAAGGGTCATTTAAAGAGAAAATAAATGCAAAACAAATAAAAGATGCTTGTGTTCTAGCTTGTTTTGCCCTAAGGTAGAGCTTTTGGGAACAGAGCTTTTGGGAACAGCCCTTGAACTGGTCCTTTGCTGCTCCTGTATGGCCAAGAGGAACGTTGAGTCTCTTTTCAGAGAGGTGCTTTTAAAGTCTTTGTTGGAAAGAGCATGACACACACCTTTTTGAGTGAGTTCAGACCCACCTTTACCCTATTCTCTGAAGAATCCTGAATTTCAGTATCTGTCAGTTATTGCTGTGCTTCCTTAGGTGACAGTTAGCTCAAACTGTTCCTATTGTATGCAGTATCCAAAATTACATCTGGACATCTCTGTCATAAATTCACTTTTTGCAGGTTAAGCACATTACCAAATTGCTTAAGATGCAGTTACTTTTACTGCAAATTAACCCAAAAGATGTGCTTCAAAACTGACTCTCCTTCATAATGCAAGTTTTTTGCTAAAACAATCAATGGAAGCTTTTAAAATCTGGTGGATTTGAATTTAAGAAGCAGATGGTAATTTAGCATGAACCATTTGGTTTGAGTAATATATTGGCAGCAAAGGCCCAATCAGCTTGCACTGCATTCCATCTTCCCCAACAGTGTTATTTCCCAGAGCAGCACTTTGCAGAAATTATGTGCTTTCCTCTTTTTTCTACATGACAAGATATTGCAGGGATTTGTAGCTTTCCAGGGTAATTGAGTCTTTTTGGAATGGGAAATCTGAAAATAACAACAAATACTCTAGGTAATCAAGTTTGGGGTTTCTAAATCAGTGCTTTACAGAAGTTCACCAGAACCTGCCAATTGTTGGCATCTCATCCTAAAATTGACAATTTGATATTTTATTGCTGTACTGCCCAGATAAAACAAGGGGAGAGATCTGTGGATAGATATAGTACCTTTTATTAGACAAGCTGATATAAGTGAGATGAACCCCCACTCATTTGTAAGCGTGTGAATCAAATCTCAAGTGCCAGTCCTTGGACTCCATCTGAATGCTGAGGCACTGCCCAGTCCAGTTCCCTGCGAAGGGATGGATGGAAGGATAAGTGGATATTTTCCACTGTTCCTTCTTAACTTCTCTTCTTGAGCTGCAGCTTTCTTTAGATTTTGCCAAAGCTGGTTAAAAGTGAATTAAATTGTGGGTAATTGGCATAAATTCCTAGCATCCACTGGGTCACACAGTGGGGATTAATAAGTTAGGGTTGCACCCCAACTTATTGGCAATATTTAGGCAACTAGAGCAACAGAGTTAGGGGTTATATTTGTGTGACAGTCTGGAGTGAAAAAGTGGGGTCAGAAGCTGAAAGGAGCTGATTATGTACATGAGGAGACCACGTCTATATTGAGTCACCCATTCCTGCAATTATAGATGCAAAGCATATCAGAGGCATTCCACTTAAACATGGCACAAATCTGTATGCCTTAGACAAGTAGCAGAGTAGAGTTTAAAAGGATTTAACTTTTCTTTTTTTTAAGAAGAAACTTCCATGATCAAGTAGTAAAAAAGCAAAGGACAAAGTTTCATACATACATTTTTCATCTTCTTAGACATCTATTCTGTCTTCCTTTCCTGTTCTCTCTCACATGGAAAAACCAAACAAACTTTTTGTTTGCTCTCTGTAGAGTTATGTGAGGTCATTGTTATCTGCTCTGCTTCTTTCTTAGTAATAAATATAAGTACCCTGAGACATTAACTTTGCCTCTTGAAAGAGAAAATGCAGCATCTGCCATGACTACATGATGACTCATGTAGTCCAGTAAGACTGTTCTCCTCCTTGGATTTACCTGTTTCTTTCTCCACTTAAAAACAGGCAGAAGTGAAAGGTACTGAGAGATGGAAGAATACAGCTGAGAAAAAAAGTCACTCTCTATGTCCTTCAGTAGTGTAGAAAACAAAGTTTTGGAAGCTTTATAAACACTCTCCATATGCCAGGAGTTATTGGTTCCTATCTTTGTGTAGATTAGAAGTGTAATCAAAGTGCAGTTTGGTCTTGTTTCTTTGTTGGTTTTTTATCATGTAGAGTCATATTCTTACTGCCTAACCCTTAGATTGTGGTAACCAAACTGAGTCCTTATTTTCACTTCTGGAAAATCACAGCACACCGACTTTGACTCTTCTGGATTTAGTGTGATGGAGAGAACAGTTTGTCCAAAATATCGTTCAGTGTTTATGGATTTTCAAAGCAGTTAAATCTTAATCTTACAGATAGAAACATGGAAGAAGGCAAAAAGTTAAAAATGTTAGTTAAGAATGACATTTCTGGTGTACACTGCATGTGTTCAGTGTATTTCAGAAGAGAGTTTTGTAATGTTGGAAAACATGCCTGTTCATATTAATGATGTATGTTTGTCTTTTCAACAGGGTTTGTGTTTTAATGGAAGTGCCTTTGTTTTGTATCTCATTGCTGCCATTGTAGATGCATCTTCAGTTACCAAAGATCTGGACAATCACAATTACAACAGCTGGGCAGCTTCTTCAGTGAGTTCATTTTTTGTTTAAATCAGTTCTACACCCAGTAAAGTTATAGCAAATGAAGACTTGTTGGAAGTATGGGTTGAAGTTGCAGGTGTTCTGCATTTTGAAAAGCTGCAGAGTAATAGGGGTCACATGCAAAACCTGTAAGTAGCTGCAATTTAGTTCATAGTTTTTAGAGGTGACTAGAAATTTCACCAGGAGATGCCAGTCACATCAGAAAAGGCAGTAATGTTTTTAAGATCACACTGATTTCCTCCTCCCTTGTCCCCATTTATTACCAGCTTTCTGGCTGAGATCAGAGCCTGCACATCAGAACAGACAAAAAAAGATTGTGTGAGCATCGAGTCACCCCAATGCACCTGGACAACTTCAAAAGCAGTTTAAACTAAGCTAACTTTGCATACTTATGCATAAGATGCATTCAGCTTCCTGGGGCCTGAGCTATTGTCCACACAGCATTGTCCACAAAGCCCTGGAATGGTATTGCTGTTTCCACACTGATCTTCCTGTTACAGCTTCAACTTTTGATAATCTTTCCTTTGAGTTGTAAGGGCAACGTGTGAAAAATCATGTAATGTGATTAAATCACTAATTAGTCTGACATTACTATCTTAGTGCTTAGATTTAGAAATCCAAAACAGTCAAAGTGGATAAAAAATAACTTAAAACATAAAAGGAATAGAAAAGAGCCTTATCACTTTTTGAGTTAGGTGAACACATTCCCTAGCAAAGTGAAGGGAGTCGTAGAAGAATTTATGTCATGTTGTGACAACAGGAGTCAAATTCAATTGTATACAGGAATTTCAAATTAGTGAGTGTTCATGCTTCTGCAGTTGTCCTACTGACTATTCATAAATCCTGTCAAAAGCTTTTTTTTGTATGGCCATGAACACAGGAACTATGAGCACCTGCTCTGTTTTTGTCCTGGGAATTGGATCATTAAATCCCTGTCATTTCAGTGGTGTTCAGGGTCTTCTCCTCTTGGCAGTTTGTAACTACAGATCTGTTACTCAGCCACTGCAGCTGACAGGAGCTTGCTTGCTGCTAGATAAAGCTTCCATGCTGATTCAGGTTTTATGCAAAATGCATGACTGCTCAGTGTCTCATGGGAGGTTTGGATTCTCTTCTAATACTTCCTAATAATGTTTATCTAACACAGTGTCTAAATAAACTATTAAATATGGATTCTTGCTTTCAAAATCCATTAAGGGTTTCAGGGATAGAGGATTTAGCAAATCATCTATCCCCAGTAGTCATTCTGTTAGAAAGATTTTAGATGGAGCTTTTATTTAATAAGAAACAAAATCATTGGAAAAAGAAGAATGCTCCAGTGTTTTATTGTAATAAGATTTTACATCACCATCTACAGTTTTTTGGAGTTAGAGATTAAATTAGCATTAGACAATGCTCACCAAGAGCCCCCTGTTAAAAGGCTTAGATTTCTGCCTGGATGCTCAGCATGTGAGCATCACAGTGTCTACTGTGCTCAGCAGTGCCTACCCATGCCAATGATGGCATATAAGCCAGGAACAACTGTAGAATCATAAAATATTTTTAGGCTGGAAGAGACTTCTTGGAAGCCATCTGGCCCAACTCTCTCCACTCCTACAGCTGGGCTAACTCATATCAGCTTACCAGGGCCTTGTCCACTTGAATTTGAGTATTTCCAAATATGGCCATTCCACAATGCCTGTGTTTGATTACTCACACTGTGTGCTGGGTTTTTTTTTTTCCCTAATATCTAATTGAAATTTCCTGCCTATAACTTGTGTTTGGTTCCTTCTTGTCCTATCATTGCTCAGCTCTTAGAAAAGTGGTGTTAATCTTATTTGCAGTGACAGCTTTACTTGATTCAGTAACTAGCACAAAACATTCTGGTATTTTCGTTAAGACCGTGTTGAATGTTGTCAGTTTTGAGCAACATGCAGTGATTAACAGGAACTTAAGCACTAGTGCTGAATTGGACTTTACCAGTACAAGTGAAATAAATCTAGCCTGCTATAGAAGGCTTACAATGGTATCAATTTCTGACAACGTAGTAACATGACAGCGTGGTTGCTGTCACTGAGGAATATTTTTATCCATCAGTAGAGGACCTCTGGAATTGGTAAGCTAATCAGCAGTGCTGTTTGAGAACACATCTGGGCTGGCATTTAAATCCAAGCCTTCTCTGTAAGCAAACAGATGCACTGTGAGTCGTGCTGGGGTACAGGTGGGCTGTGAGCAATATCTGGAACACAGCAGCAGGGCAGGAGTGCTAGCTTGAGCTCACATTGTCCCACAGACAATTCCTCAGCCTCTAAAAGTGGCAAGTATTTAGATTGGTGGCAGTCCAATCTGTAAGATATGAGGCTATATAATGAGGAATTTATTTAAAAAGTTGAAATATGTCGTGTTTTGTCTGTTCCAAGCCCATACTTCTAGGCATAGTGTAAGCTTACTTTTACACAGTGTTGGCTGTGATGACCACACAGGCACGAGGTGAGAGTGTGCCATTTTTATCAGCTTGCTATTTTCCTTTTTCCCAGGTTCCATAACATTTTTTTTCCCTTAGAAATTACAGTGCTTTCAAATATATTTATTTCCTAATCTGTTTTTTCTTCTCTCTCAACAGTTCTTTGCCTTTGTGGTTACCTCCTGCTATGCTGGAAATACGTATTTCAGCTTTATATCCTGGCGATCACGAACTTTGCAGTAAATACTTTGTTAAAGTGAATTATGTTGTGTAAAGTCCTTTGAGGATTATTCATTTTTGAGAAAAGCTTGGAAGAGGGGTGAGGTATTTTTGAACATTTCTCCTAGAATCGACACGATATAAACTGAGATCAGTTGATTATTTATAATAATGCCATCTTTAGAGACATTTTTACCTGACTTTGTACTATATAATAAAATTTCATACTGCTTTTTTTAAAATTAACATAGTATTTTTCTAGACATTGTATAATTGTTACTGCTAGACCTTTAAAAAAATCTTACTCAATGTGCCATGTATGTGAATGTAACTTTTTAAATGTTACTGTTATACTTTTGATACTGAAGGCTACCAAAACTAAGATTGATATTGTATCATTATTATGTATGAAAAAGTGACATTGTGCAGAAAAAAACCCACCTGAAAGTTTAAAAAATAAATAAATAAATGATCCAACTGTACATGTTTTGTAAACTGAGAGTAGAAGCTTGCTTTTTTAAATTTCTTTTTCAGAGTACACTAGATACTACCAGGAATTCTGATGATCCTGTGGGTGTGCATAGTCTAACAGCTCCTCAGATCACGAGGTTGCTTTTGGTTACTGTAGGTCTGAAGCTGAAGAAATGCTGTTCCTGGAACACATTATCTTAACAGGTTTCTCAGATCCAACAGGCTCCAAAGCAGGAGCCCAGACAACACCCCCTTAGTGCTCAGTGCTCAGCCTGCTGAGGGCATCACAAATCTCTGGCTGAAGGTAACAAACACTTCTTGTTTCTCAGCAGACTCTGGTTTCTTGGGTTTTCTTCTCCTCAGATTAGGCCATTACTCACTCTTATTAAAATCTGGGCTTCTAAATCCTATTAAATGATACAGAGATTAAATCCACAGCAGAATTGTCAAGACACCAGTGCTACAAGAAAGGAATTTCCTCCCTCCTTTCCTGTCTACTGACATCATCTGCAACTTGTTAGTTTAACAAATGAAGTTGGTACTCCTATTTAAATAACTTTGAATCAAGCAGAAGTATGACAGAATATGACTTTCAAAACAGATGCCTTTGAAAATTACTTTCAAATACAAATTACCTGAGGATTTTTTTTTCAAGAAATTACATGGTGAGTGAAAGTTTGTGATTATTTTATGATGTTATTTAAAGCTTTCCTCATTTAAAACTACTGGTGAACCTTCTATTCTTGGATTAAGAAGGTTTGGATTCCCTTCTGGTCTTCAAAAGCTTATTTGGTTGATAATGTATGGCAGCAGAGAAACCTTACTGCTTAAAAAAATCTTCTTTATTTCTCCTTGTAAATAAATGGTGTGTGGTTACTTACATATGTGCCTTGCAGAAGATTTATCAGCAGACAGCTAATTCCCTTCTCGATCACATGTTTTTATTCTTGATTATCTGTCAGTCATAAGATTTCAGTGTAAGGGAAGCCAAGATATTATTTAAAAACCTATACTTGTCTACAAATTGCATTTGGCCTACACAACATAGGTCAGGCTGTCTGCTGCTTGCTAAATTTATCCAGTTGTGAGAGGGAAGAATGGCTACCAACTCTGCATTTTATCTACACAGATAAAATGTGTCATTAAAACCCCGTATGCTCTTTTCCATCGCTGGGAATAAAAAGAATCAAAGGCATTGAAATGATCCAAGTGCCAACTGATAAAGTGTGACTTTGTCAGTCACACTGTTAGAAATATAGCCAAAATTAAAATTTCATCAGTGACTTCTCATCAGTCAAAAAGCTTCAGAAGTGATAGAAATTCTTTCTTAATTGATATTTGATGTATCTATTTCAACTCCAAAGGATGTAACTATGTTTGCACAAACATTTCAAGATTTTGAAGTAACTGCAATGGTTTGTTTGGTCTAAACTCATAACCCAGACCTCATTTGTGGACAAAGGCAGTAAGAGGGAGGAGAGCTAAGAGGAGGTTCTGTTTCATCCAGTTTACTTAAAAGTGTCATGGCAACTGTGTGTTACATTCAGAGTTGCCCTTTAATGTAAGATAAAACCAGATAAGGAGTGATTCTGGCAAAATATCTACATGCTCTCTGAGACTTCAGTGCTGATCCTCAGGGGAAGATCTGCAGAATGACTTCCGAAGACAAATCTGTGAGGTGAACCCTTAATTCTGAATTTTAAAAAATACATACTAGGCAAAAATTTGCTTTGTACTTGGACTTGTTTTTTGTTTTTTTTTTTTCTTCACAAACCATAACTTACCTGCCTTGCTCTGTCCTTTCACAAAGATAGTTATCTTACTTCCCATGCTCTTTCTCATCTGTTGCCCAGGTACCAACTGTCTTATTTTGGAAATGCTCTGAATATCTAGTTAAAATTGGAGGAGTCAACACAAGCTGACCATTCCTTTTGGAATTTGCTCTTCCAGTTTCAGGCCTGAAGAAAGGCATAAGCACCCAAAAGATTATCTTCCAATTCACTGGTCTTAAATATTGATTTGGAAAGTATGAGTTAATGCATTTGTATATTCTAATATTGATAAAGAAGATAAGCTAGGTGTGGTTTATCATATAACAATTAAAACATGGTTTGTATCTGCTGTAGGTTAGAACTTGTAAGATTGAAAGAAGCCTTAAAAGAACAACTAGTAAGTGAAGTCATTAATGAAATGCTTAATACAGATATTTAGAAGAATAAACAAACTGCTAATAAACTTGCAAAATGAAGGTGTTTGACTTGCAACTAACTTGTTTCAGACAAAGTCTCTGAAAAATCTAAGTCACATACATAAGGGTACTTGATGTCAACTTATGGCCATTAATTTTCATTTATTAAGGAGTTGTCAGCACCTTTTTTCATCCTCATACACAATGTCCCTAACAAGACAAAGTAAAGAGCATGAGAACTAATAAAAACTTCAAACGCAGTAGAGTTAGGCTGACTTTGTCCCAGTGCTTCACAGAAGATGCCTGTATTGCTGGGTAGAAAACATGTCTGTTATGCCACTGGTATTAATTTAAAGTTATTTCTGTTTCACTGCCCTGAACTCAGATCAGCAGGGCCCCAGTCACACACACACTGTGTGACTTCTATTTCAAAAGAAATAGAGAACTAAAGAAGCTGAACCAGCAGGTAAAACTGCATATTTCTAAATAGGAAGTAAAGAAATTACTGGAACCTTCCTCCACAGGGCTTATAGAGACCTGTAGCCATGCATGCTTCCGAATGGGAACTGTAAGGAGAAAAAAACAAAACAAACAGAAACAGCTGTTTAAAATGGAACAAATTTTTCTTTTATTTCTCAGCAGCTAGCATTTTACTCTTGTGGCAGTAGCCAGTGTTGTAGCTTTGATATCTAGTGACATGAGATAAAATGTGGTGGGACCACATTTAAAAGGTAATACCTTTTACTGCTACCACAAGATGGCTTAACAGAAGTCCAGAACTATGTACTGCTTAATCTAATGAGGACCATTGGCAAACCTGTTTTGCTCCAAGTAAATTGCTTATGCTGGGGCCTTATGTGTGTTGGGGGTCACCTGGGCTTACACGTCTTCCCTCTTAGGACAATTTTATTTGCTGAAGGAACTCATTCAATACTAAATATGAACAGAATCTGTGTTGTAACTGCAGAACGAAGCAGCAGAAGATGGGATCACTACTGCAGTGAGTACAAAAGTGGCATATGCCCAGCTCAGAGGCCTGCTAATACCTCACTTGTCAGAAAGCAGAACAAGTTATTTTTAAACATGAAGAAATACACAGCTTCCTCTGCTGCGTTTCATTACAATTGCTGTATGATTTAATTCAAACACTGGGCCTGAGACATCTGGACAGCCCTTATAGTTTTACCTGTTGCTGCCCATTACCGCAAATGGCTTTTATCTTTCATGAGACCGAGAATCAGAGGGCTGGGAGGGGGATTGGCAAGAGTGGGAGCCGTGTGAGAAGGCGCTGTTTGCAGCTTTCCCTCCACAGCGAAGCACCGGAGTCGCTCCCCTCCCAGGGGTTTGTCACTGTCCCCGCCGAGCTGCTCGGTGCGGAGCTCCCTCCCGGCAGGCGTCCCGCTCCCTCCGGCCTGTTTCCATGCATCCCGGGCGGGCTGCAGGGCGCGGGGGGAGCCTCCCTGCGCAGCTCCCGCTCCCGGCTGTCCCGGACCCGCTGTCCTGCCTGGGTGCGGCGGCGTCTCCCCGGCGGCTCCCCTCGGCCTCCCCCGCCCCGCGGCCCGGGCGGGCGGGGAAGCGCCGCGCTCCGCCCGGCCCCGCCAGCCCCGGGGCGCCACCGCCCGCCCGCCCCGCCCCGTCCCATCTCATCCCGTCCCGTCCCGTCCCGATCCCCGTGCCGGGCCGAGGGGAGCGCGGTCGCAGCCATGTCGCACGGGGCTCGAGTGATCCGCACCGGGGTCAGCAGCGCGGGGCCCGCCGCCCCGCCGCCCGTCACCGTCGCCTCCTCCTCGGCGGGCTCGGACGCGGAGCTCATGGACGGCGGCTATTTCCGCTCCTGCGCCGGCATGCTGAAGGTGGCTCAGATGGTAAGGGGCGAGCGGGGCGGGGGCCGCTGCCGGAGCTCCTCGGGGCCCTCGCAGCCCGCGGGAATCGCGCCCGTCCCGGCCGGACGGCTCCTGTGGCGGCGCGGCCGGAGAGCCCTCAGGCTCCGCGCGGGTTTGGCCCCTCAGTCCTCTGCCAGCAGCACCAAAACCCGCGTTCCTCTGGCAGAGCGTCTGTAGGAAGCTGTCCTTGCCTCCTCCTAACGCAGCAGTGATCCCTTCTGAGCAGACGGACGTGTGCGAGCCCAAAGCGGCAGTGTTAACTTTTTGCTACTAACAGCGGTAGCACCGTGATGCGATGGCACACCGTGCCGTGCAGCGCCTCATTCCTCGCTCATTCCGTAGTGTGGGGAAGCTTTTAGGAGGCAGCGGGGCCAAGTGGCGGTGCCCACAGCGACCTGGTAGAGTTGGGCACCACAGCTGAGGCTGCTGGCTCAGTGCCCTGCCTGCCAGAGACCTCCAGCAGTGACCCAGTGACACGGGGAGGGATGTGTGGCTGAAATTCAGTAGCAGTCGATGGTGGAACGCTGCCAGGATTTTGAGCTGATGCCTTAAGTCAGTGCATGAAATTCAGCTCCATGCAGATGTGGAGAAGATTAACAGATGGATAAGCTCTTTCTCATTTTTATGGGCCATAATTATCTGAGGGGTGATTTGTCAGCTTAATTACGGTTGTGACAGTGATAATGCCCAGGAAAGAGCATGAAAGACGTCGTGTACGGATACCTCCACACGTACGTTTTCATCCTGCAAAAACTTGTGCCTTGGCAGAGTTTTATCCTGGAGTTGTTGCCTTCATCTTTTGTAAGCTCCCAATGCCTTCTTTCCCCCTGCCTGTATTTGTCTGGTCATTTTTTTAAAGTTGTGTAGATTATTAGATTTCTAAGCTGACATTCAAAGTTAGGATTCATTGTATTCTAAGTTATTGAGGAGTAACATCAAATCCTCAGCTTTCTCTTTCAAAGCTGCCTGGTTTCTTCCAGTTTGTTATTGGCTGTCAGCTGCCCTTAGAAGTGACCCTCAGTAACAGGAGATGAAGTTGACCATGACTGTTCATGGCTGCCTCTACCTGCTGAGCATCTGCCCTGCCCTCATGAGACCTCGGAGCTGTCCCTCACTATGGATTCTGTGCTGTAGGAACACAAAGAGTTGATGTCTGCTGCCTTCTTCTGTCCTGGGCTCTTCCCAAACCACTGAGTGGATCTGGGGAGTCTTTGCAGGAGACATGTGAGCATGTGTCTACATTGCAGCTGAACCTGTAGCCCTAAAGCAGTAGCCTTGTGCTCTACTGATAAGCTGAAAGTCTATTTGCTTTCACCAGTGTAGAAAGAGTAGATCCTTTTATGGGCTGGAAATAACTCATCCTCTCTGCCCTCCATGCTGCTCTGATGTCTCTCCAGCTCCGAGGTGTGACTCCTAAAGCTGCCCCAGCATGGGTATTGGTGCTGTAATGTCAGTTTCTGGTGTGCGTATTAAGTGCGTGCATTCTTTACATGCTTGGCATATTTTCATGTGCTGGATGTAAATCTATCTAATTTTATGTAATGCTTCACATACTTTGCATAAAGTCATATTTTATCAATGCTATTCAATCTAAAATTCATCCAAATTTAAGCAATTGGTTTTCTGTGGTGACTTTAACAGAAGTTAAAATAATCTAAATTATCTTTTCTTTGCACTCTTTCAGTTTCACCTTCTTATATTTTTGTGCTTTTCATCTTGCCTGTAAACATCAGTAGGAGTTACCTCAGGTATTCAAGGAACTTTGGGCAAATGAACCTCTTGCAATATCACATATCACAATAGCACTTTCTCAAATAATTCCATAAGAAAACCAAATGTTTGTGCTGTAGCCTGTAGAAATAACCATGATACATTAGCTCTAAATATACTCCTGCACCCAATAAAATAGGGAGAGCTAAATATTTTTGCAGTTCTCTTTTATCTCTTCTCAGACAGTATTTATACCCACAGCTCCATTTGTATGAGCATTCAGTTCTCCTAGTACAAAGTGTTGGCAGTAACTTTTCCTGGTAAAGATTTCTTCCTGCTAAGTCTGTAGACATTCCTGCACTAGTGTAGGTGTGGCTGGTGGCTGTAGTGTTACTGAGAAGCAGAGCCCTTATGCTGGCAAAGCAGAAAGGTAAGGTCATTTGTGTTAGATATATATCACATTAAATTGTGTGCTGGGCCTCTGAGTGGTTGTGGTTGTGAAGAGGAAATGTTACAAGTTTTGTTTTCTCTTTCTTTCTCATCCCCGTTACCAAGAAGTAGAAGATGTTGTAGAGAGCAGGAAAGAAACATTTCATCATTTACTGTAACGTTGAGGGCTGTTTGCTGTGCTTGCAAGATAAAAACCCTAACGATTAGATGTATGTGTGAGTGACATGAATCTAATGTATGACAACAACATGCTATGGAAATCATAGGAAGAAAACAGAAGATAATGTTCCAGCTGTTCTGCTGTAAGACAGGACTAAAACTCAGGATTGTTGAAGAGATTGTGCAGCCTGAATTGTTGCTAATTTTGAGTGTTGCTCGTGCTTTCTCTTGAAATTCTGGGTGCTGTGGTGTCTAGTATAGAATGAAATTAAGAGGAAAAAAGTGTTTCTTGCCTGTAAGCCTATGCAAGTTCCTTTACATTTTTTTGCTAGAGAATTTCTTTAACCTTGCAGAATGATTATAGCTTTGAAAAGACAGTGTATTTTATGCATTGTCTTCATGGCCTGGGGAATAGTCTATAACTATGTTGAATATAAAATGGAGGAGAAAACATAGTTATGCAGACTTGTGTATTTTGTGTGGCAGTAAGACAATTTGAAAGCTGCTTTTCCATATGTGAGTGTCACTAACTTTAGTTGTGGCTCTTCAGAATCCAGTGTGAACTGACATTCTGATTTTAACAGGAAATTGTAAAGTATTTCAACATCTAACTTGCTCCAGCTTGTTTAACTTGATGTTGTTAATACAGATTTTGCTTTTTCTTTCCTTTCCTTCTCCTTTTTTTTTTATATTTGCTGTTGTGCCAAGACCTCTTAGGGATACATGCAGGATCCCACTGTGGCCACCTTGGTTCTGTAGCAGCAGTGCACTAAGCAAGTGTGTGAGTGGTGTGTATCAGTGTGCACAATACACTTAGACCAGAGAAACTGACTTGAATTACTCAAATTTTTGCCAGCTTGCCAACACTGACACAGGTGGAACTCTCCAGCATTCTGCATGAGCTGTGCTGGTTTGGTTGAGGCACATTTGCTTTGTGTTTGTTTCTTTTTCTTGAAAAAGAAATTCACAAAAGCAAGTTCTGCGTGGAATTATTTGATAGCTACTGAGTCTTTTAACTTGATCTTCAGAATGAAACATCTTTCTGTCCAAGGAGGTGATTGAAGTAAAACATCTAATTCTGTGCTACTGCTAACTTGTTTTATTGTAAGCCTTTGTAGGAACTGTTGCTAGCCTGGCAAGTTCTCAGTGGATGGTTCTTGAGAGTTTTTTGAGGTATCCTGTGCCATTAGGGTCAGTGGCATGAATGTGCATTTGTGTTGTCACCAGGGTGGCTCAAGTGCCAGCGTTGATAGAGATTGAAACAAGCCTGGTTCCACTGAACCAGACTCAAATGATTGCATTTGTCCTGGAGCCTCATGTGCTTTTTGCAGCTGAAGTCTGGAGGATGCCATTGATGCTGTTCTGGATGAGATCCTGCTTCCAGCCCAGCCCCTGTGAGACAGGGGAGCCTGTGTAGGTGTCCCCCTCTCTAAGGCACTCGTAGGAGTGATTGTATCACCTGTGCACAGTGTCTGGGGCAGAGCTTTGCAGGGGTGTGCCCATACAGAATGAAGAGAGAAAATTGAAGAGCTGAGAGCTCGCATGTAGGAGAGCCATCATGGCACAGCACATGCTTGTGTAGGTTTTCAGGCTTCTCAAACTGTTGTTGGACCACTCCTTTTTCCTGAGAGGTGCACAGTGACCCATGGCCACCTTTGCCTCTCTTTCACCTCCCCCAGGTTGGGCCAAGCTAACTGTGCTCACAGTTCAGACTGAAGGCCATTGTTCCCCCAATGACACCACTGCTACAGCTCTGTCAGAGTAAGCACAGCCTCAGAACACAGGGTGCTTTAAGCTGAAACCAGTGCTGATTCTGTCAGCTCAATGTGAGCCATCAGTTTCTCAAGACAGAGAACAAGAAAATCAAAATTACCTTCTCAAGGCTGAAGAAAAGATTTACAAGCAATTGAAATGTGAAAAAAGGATAAACTCAATAAAAGCTGACTTAACAACGTCATTTTAACTTGTTAAAAATGCTAAAGCAATAGCTAAAGCTTTCCTGCAGAGTATCTATTTAATTTCCAAAGTATGCCTTGACAATAGCATGACATACTTGACAAGTGAATGGCCAACAAGACAGTCTGTAATTCTGAGCAACTTTGAAGTGTGCTGAAACCTCTCTGGGTTATTTGTATACTAACATATAGTTGCATAATAGCATTCAAGAGAATATTCATTCATCCAACACTGAAGGCTAGAGAATGCTGGCAGTGAGGCTGCTGTAGCCAAGCTCCATATCTGAATGTGTTTCCAAATTTACTGAAGAGCTATATTCAGAAGAATTTAAAATACTAAAAGAAAGCAAAATCTGTTAGTGCAAGAAAACAATTTCTGATTAAAATCATTGATGCAAGAAAAAGAAATTCACAAAAGCAAGTGATGCTTGGAATTATCTAAGAGCTACTCAGTCTTTTAACTTGCTCTTCAGACTGAAACATCTCTCTGTCCAAGGAGGTGATTGAAGTAAAACATCTAATTCTATGCAGCAGTGTGTCAGTGACATGATTTTGCCTTTATTCTAATGAAGCTGTTCAGTCAGAAGATAGGCATTCTCGTGATATGCAGAGGTGCTGAAATTGTAAACCTGTTTGTGAGTCCTGTATAGACTGTGCTTTCTGGGGGATTGTGGAAAATCACCCCAAAAATGTGCAAGATAAACCACT